TTGGACTGGAACCTAGCTTGCTAGTGCCACATGAGCCTCCACCGCAAGCTAGTTCCAGTCCAATACCGAGAATACGAAAATGGTCCCTAGCTTCTCGATTTGGTATAAAACTACTCGGTCACTTCCGACCTAGTCCATGTATTCTGGGGCGAGGGCCGTCCCTTTCCCATATCGGTGACCACTTCACTCTTGGCTTGCGGGCTCACCACTTTTCCAGGGCGAGTTTCGCTCATCTTTTCAGTGTGTTCAATCAGCGACAAACAAACAAATGCCCAGTTAAACAGATACTGAGCAGGCAATGAACCGTGCTTCGCCACCGCTCCTTGAGGCACATCTGTGCGTAACAAACAAGGGAAAAACAATTAGTCACAAACAAACAGGCCTTGAAGCATATAAAGTTGCCTTTGTGACGGCGCCCTTCAAAACTTGTCACGTACGTCATCTTTCCGTGCAGTTTTGAACTCACTGCACTGTGAGTAAAAATTCTTAAAAAATTCTCACACAGGCTAGAAGAAAAATAGAGGTTATGCTCTGAAGGTAACTGCCATACAACAGAAGGTAAACCCACTTCAAAGCCAACCACAGCTATCACAGTAAGTCAAAATAGGTTAATAAAAAAACTCAAAGTGAAAATATATAGCCTGGGCCAAATACGAGCATTTTGCTAAACTCGCATGCGCCCCCGGCAGTTCTCGTCGAATCTCGTACTCTCTCGGCGTCTGTCGTCGACTCTTGTGCTCCCTTGGGGTTTGTCGTCAACTGTCGTGCGCTCTCGGCGTCTGTCGTCCACCCTCGTACGCTCTCGGCGACTCCCGTCACCTTTCGTGCACTCTCGTCGAATTTGAACCTGTTTAAATGTTTGAATCTTTGAAAGGTTTTATCGCTTAACCGATTATAAAACTCATGAAAAACAAAGAAAAGGAAGGGCACTACTTACCCTGAAGCTTTCCAGCTAACGACTTAGCGTCTACACCGATAGAATTCTTCTTCGCTGTGGGATCGTAGGACGTTATAAGCTTAACCAGGTCAGGATTAACCATCTGTTTACACATACTCCACTCGTTGAACTTCTCCTGTTGCTGTCGATCCGTGTAGAAGATCCCTAACACGGCTTTCAGGATATCGTGAATCACTTTAGGCGGATCCTTATAGCTCTTGATCTCGGCAAAGGCTCTGCAAATTTCAATAAAGTCGCGTTTACACTAGATTACTGTCTTCTAAGGAATGTCGTTAAACTAACACCATGGCAATCCCAGAGCCACACGATCACTGTGGCGGCAATCGCAAAATAAACCAATAACTGACATGCAAAAACTCTACACGCGGCAAGCGCGGGAAAAATTACGAGATTTGTATAAGTTTCGATCAAATTGGCTGCAAATATATCTGTTGTCTTTGATTGGTTGAGCACCTTGTATGGGAATTTCAACCTATAGCAGAGCACAAAAACTCGTAACCAAAGCAACTACCTTTAGAAACGTAGCGGTAATATTGAAAGTGTCATCGAAGGAAATTAAACTATATAAAAATTTGAATAAGTAAATTACCTGGCGTCCAGCCTTCCCACGTTCTCTCTCAGGTCCAGCAGCATAAGGCGGTCAAACAGCACGTCAATTCGAGCATCTTCGTACTCCTTCTCCACCTCTACATACCCAAAAAGCAATCAGTTAATGATAATTATTAAGTAATGACGAACGTAGGTGCTACATCCTATAGAGTAAATGAGCACGAACAACAGAAAAAGAAATCAGTCATGGGCACGAATTTTCGAGAGGTACAGAGGCTATTCTCACTCTGATAGTCACTAAAAATGCTGCGGTTTTAATGAAACGTCAACTCACCCAACACAATGTTTTTCTCGGCTCCGCCTGTGATCTCTCGCGCTACCTCTCTATGCGCCTTGGCCAGCAGTTTGAGCATGCGCTGTATCTCCTTGTTCTCGTGCGGTGGAAGAGCTTTGAGGTCACCAATGCTAATGTCAACCACAGCAACAGCTCTCCCTTCCCCATCCCTGAGGGGAAAGGCCATGTGACGCTCGCCGTACGCATCTGCAGTGATGGTCTCTGAGCTCTCTACACATTTGAACAAGTAGTCTCTGAAAATAATACGTAAGAAAATTTGCTCAATAGATGGACAACTGTTTTCTTCACATCTGACCAAACAGGAACATGTTCCTCTTACTCAGCCATGAGTATAAATATTTCTTTATAAGTAATGTTAGTTCACTTATTTTCTTCTCACCTGAAGAGATTGTCTCTTCTATCCAGTCTTGGTGGATTTGTATAGTGCTGACTAACCCCGTTGTGAGCCAAAGTCATCATTCGGCGAAGAACTAACCCGTCAGTAGGCTAACGACAAAACAACAAGGGAAATTAAATAATGAAAAACAAAAGTTTAGATAGCGTTTGCAAAGCCGAGTTGAACAAACAGTCACGCTTGTTGTTACACATGTCAAGGTGATATTTAAACACTTTATGCTCACCAAGTCGTGGTTATAGAATTACTTGTAAACCTTAATTAAGCCACCAATTTTCAAAAACCACCCGGAAAGCATTAATTTCTATTGGCTAAGGGGTTATAAGCGTTTCACACAACCCGGTCAAATGGTACAAAATCAGCCATGTTAGGATGCAAGTGGCACCAATCGATTGACTTTCCTTTGTTTTGGAAGTCCCACTATATCCAACTTGCGTCCGAGCGTGACTGATTTCGTAGCACTACCAGGTCGTGCAAAAGGGCCCCTTAACGCGGGACGAATGTTGGAATTTCGTACTATTCGGCCTATTTCTGACCAGAAAAAATCCTTTACCTTCAATCCAGGCTCCACCATATAGACATTGACATTCTGTACATTAGGACTGCGCCGCAAAATCCAGGAAACTGCTGACTCAGCAACTCTGAGCGTTTTCCGACGGATGTCCACAAACTGGATGGCTTGACTCAAGGCCTTGGCCACGCCTTGGAAGAAGCTGATCTCATGCGTGATAAAAACGGGTTTGTGAGGATCTGCCAGTGTGTCAACACCAAGGATGCCGATCACTCGCCGCTCGTGATCTTTTAGAGGCAGAGCGATGAACGAACCGTCTCCTCCCTGAGAGAGATGACGAATAAGAGAACAGTCATTACGATAGCAAATGGTCCCAAGTTTTCAAGAACCGTGAGCAAAATGACGTGATATCGCTTAGGTAACTGCTTACAGACGAAAAAAGTTTCTCCGTTTCCGTGTTTCTTCAAGGCCCGTTCCAAACTACGCCAGAGGAATTTGAAAACGGAGGTTTCACTATGAAAATGCATCAAATGTTTTCCGCCCACAGCACGCCGGAGGAATTTAAAAACGCATGCTCAATCAACGGTCATTTTGGATTTGTGTTTGAGGAAAAAGCGTGACGTCGTCGTTTTCGAAAGCTTCGTTTTCAAAAAATCAAATCTCTCCGGTTTGAAGAGCGTTTTTGAAAAGCTCCGTCTTCGTGGCGGATTAGTGTGGACGGTAGGTCTAACCGTAGAAATAAAGCTGTGTTTTCAAATTCCTCCGGCGTATTGTGGTAGGTAAAGTCTGCATACGAGCCAAGTGGCCCCACCAGGCCGGAGCTTATCCCG